GCTTGTATATGGATTCTTACAAAATTAAATACAAAAGTAACTGTACCAAAACACCACAATAAGGAATAACAAGGAACGATTTATTATCTCACATTAGAAGGAAGTCCCAGAGATAGGATGGGCTCCTAGTTGGTTGATCAGGGTGATTAGTCAACAGAGGTTTTGTGGCAATGAGTTTCTCTTCAGGAGTTAGGGGAACTACGTGTTTTTAGATGCCTCTACTAAACTTTCCCTACTCCTGAAAGAGTCATGGAAACCCTGATTCTTTTCTCTCTCTGGTATTTAATGAAGAAACTCATTGCCACAAAACCTCTGTGAAAGAAACAAGCCTTAAGATGAAGCCAACATGGCATAACGAAGGCAGCAAAAGGAAAGAACTTGATAAACATAACTGAATCACCTGATCAACCAACTCAGGACCATCCTATCTCTGGACTTCCTTCTATGTGGAGATAATAAATGTTCTTGTTATTTAAGCCAGTTTAATTAGATTTTCTATTAGTCACAGGTGAAAATAGACTAACACAAAGGGACTTCATCTACTTGTTCACTGCTATATTCTAGCACCTAGAAAAACGCCTAGAACATGGTTGGCACAACAAATATTTGTTGAAATGAATTAGTGAAAGAGTCTAAAAGAATAACTTAGGAAGAAAAGAATCCTAAGATAACTATTCTCCATTTAGCCCACTGCTGTGGTTTGAATGTGTTCCCCCAAAAGCATGTGTTGGAAACTTAATCCTCAATGCAAGTGTTGGCAGGTGGGACCTAATGAGAGGCGATTAGGCCATGAGGGCATAGAAAATGGATTAATGCCATTATTGAGGGAGTGGTTCAGTAGTTGGGGAGTAAGTTCATTATAAAAGGGGAGTTTGGTCCTTCTCTTTCTCTCTCCCCTCTTTTTCCCCTCCCTCTCTCCTGTCCTCTGCCATATTATAAGTAGCAGGAAAGCCCTCAAAATATGCTGGCCCTCATCTTGATTCCAGCTCCAATGTGAGCTATAAATTTTGTTCACTATAAACTACCAGCTCTGGTATTCTATTATAGCAGCACAAAACAGATAAGACACCCACTTAGCTATAAAGTCACTAACTTCCTTAAGAACAGGCATCTAGTTACGTACTATCAAGTAAACACAAAAATGTTCTTGACATAGATTTAAAACATCAACCTGTCGCTGAACTATGTCACCATTTATTACAGAAGGAAAATGCCACTATCAAAAACATGCATACATTTATAAAGACTTACAGGTTCTTGGGGTTCTGTTTCTTCCCATGCTCCCAACCATCATCTTCCCAGTTTTGTTGATTTACCTATTTTAAAGAAGATGAAAAAGGTTTACATGAAATATAGGCTTAAATACTTTTAAAATATATTTCTAAATATAATAGAAACAATCCCTGTATAATGCTGATGTTAAGGAAGAAAACAATGGTAAACTGTGTTATAACAGGATTTGCTCTTTACAATAACAATCAGGAACATCTGAACTACTAATATCTAAATCTATGTATTAGTAAAATTGTATGCAAGTACTTGGATTTAAGATATTGGACGGCAAAAGTCTATCCACATTTAAATCAAACTACAAAGATCCACTGGTTATAAAATGGAAATCCCTAAAATGCATCGGCCTTGAGCAACTACTTTGAGACAAGCATTAGACACTGTGTATGTATTACCCAAAATTAAATTTAAAAACTGATAAAGTTCAAATAAAACTTTGGGCCCCAGAATCAGACTGTTGAAGTTTTATTTGAACTTTTTATCAATTTTTAAATTTAATTTGAGGTAATGCACACATAAAGCATCTAATGCTTGTTTAAATCCCGTATCAAGCGCTTCAGAGCTCTGTGACCTAGGGCAAGTTACCCTTTGTCTCTAAAAGATAGCTATAAGTTCTCTAATCATAAAAGGATAGACAACAACAGTATCCACTTCTAGCAGGACTGCTGTAGGGATTTAAATCAGATGGCATACTAAAGTCCTCAGTGCCTAACATATATAAGTTCTTAACGCTAGTCATCAAAATTTAGCTTATGGTACTTAAGCAATTAGCTTTAAAATTCTGGAGAAAAATCAGTTTAAAAGATGGGAGGAGTGAGGGATCCTGATGGCTTACAATAGTAAGGAAGCAAACAGAACTTTCACTTATATACAAGGTTTTAAAAGTTGCTAAAATCAATTAAATATAGATGATTAAAAAAATTGTTACAGACTGGTATTTGGAATCATTGCTCAATTAACTTTGTGGTAATAGTCTAATCTTCGGCATTTAAGTGCCAAATAATTACTTCCTAATATGCAAAGCACACTGCTAGACATATATTAAGTCCTAAAATAGAACTATCATTTGATTAACACTGTACATTTATAGAAGATTTCCATATACAAGTCAATTAACAACTTAACAAATGCCAAATCTTGTAATAGGAGCTGAGAAAAATACAAACACACTCCTTGCCCTTAAAGAATTCATGACCTAGGGTAGAAGACAGACAACCATGTAATTACAATACATAGTGAGTGCTATAATCTACTACTATGGGAATTTAGATGAGTGAGAAAAATGAAAAAAAAAATAGTACATAGTAATAAACGAAATCTTTAAAAAGTAGCTAGGAATTTTTCAAATATGCTCAGAAAAAGGTCAATATGAATTTGGACTCAGTGGCACAGTGAGGCTTAAGTTCAGGTCTGAGTTCCAAAGCCCATGCTCTTAAGTACTATGCTACACTTACTCCTGCTATGGTTCATAAAGAAGGATAAGATTAAAGAACAGTGAGGTTTATAGTTAAGGTCAGAGAGTCCTTGTTTTAAAATAGAAACATGCCTTTGATATTGAGATTTAGGTTTTTTGTTTCATTTTATTTTGTTTTTTACCTTGGAAAATTACAGTTTATTCTTTGGCAATTAGGCAATCTCTTCTTTTGCTAATTTTTCCACTGCACCAAAAGCAACTGTCTGATTGTGGGCTGATGGCAGGTTATTAGGCCATCCCATTTACAGCTTCAGAATATGTACAGTCTTTTGTATCAGAATGCAAAGTACCTAGAAAAGCTCACCACTGAAGTTCATAATTCGTTAAAAATTGCTATAAAAATAATGTATATATCAAATTACCACAGCCTCAAAAAGACCATATAGAATTTAAAGCCCTTCAGGAAGGTCATCCAATCATTCATTCACTCATTCAATAAACACAGCATCTTTTATGTGTTGGCACTGTGCTAAGTGCTGGAGATAAGCAAACAAGCCTTGGAAGAGCTTGTGCACATAACCTCTGTTGAATGCTGTACAAAAATATTTTAAAAGTGTCATTTCTCCTCCATGTTGGTATAAAAAGTACCTGACTCAATTCAGAGTGACTCATACAATCAAACGGAAGACAGCAGGAATTTGGATTTTCTACCTCTGCAGATACCTACTATCTCTTTATGCCACGATTCAAAACATCCAAGAAATGACCTTGATGAATACATTATACAAAATTATTGTGTTCATGAGAGTTTCTCAAGGTCCCTGACTGGAGAGTTTCTATCAAGAAGAGGGAAAGAAAATATAATTGGGCATCTCCCACTATCATAGGAATACATTTTACCAAAGAAGTCAGGATATAAACAGAGTTAAAGGAAGATGAAACAGCACTATTATTCAGGTAGGGTAAAGACAGTTTTTGTAGGCTGTTCTAGAAGCCTGTCTATTTATAATACATATGAGAATGCTTTCCAAATTTGAGTCAACTTAAAAATGGGAAATATTTTATCAATTGGGCACTACCTTTATAGCTATTTCTACTCAATGCCAGTGGTTTAAATTTCGTGGCCTTTTCTTCTGTTGAAAATCATTTGATAGGGTTTTTGCAAGCTGCTAGTTGACAGCTATTGTCAGCTGTTAAAAAGTGGTAGAAGCCCAGCACTTCACCAGTGTTATTTCTTATGTCTTCAAATTATGAAAGCAAGCCAAGCACATTCTTTAGGAAAGAAAAAAAGAAGGTGTATGTTGAAAAAATAGCTGATAAATGTCTCATATAAAGTTGCCATTCATGTAAATAATCTTATTCAGGCACAGTCATTCCTTCTGGTAATCTTCTAAGGATAATGTCAATTGACATCATTAGCAGTGTTTTTAATTGATCATTGATTAAGGTTTAGGTAACCAAAGCAATGTTTAACATAAATTTGAGAACTAGGCACTGTTTTATGTTAATATGGAACATAACTATCATGAAAAAATAAGATTAATTTGCTCAATTTATTATCAATTACTATGAAGAAATGCTAAAAATAATTCATCATCATTCTGTAAAGAGAATAAATAGATTAATATCTCCTGTAGGACAGGGTAATTTGAAAGTCCTAAACCCTGTTATAACTTAACAGGTAAATGAGTTTAACAAACTATATCAATTCATAGAATAAGGACACCAAGACAGCCAATTTCTTAAGATGGTTTGGGGGTCCAATATGAAGGTTGAAGGTTCTAAACACTCCACCAATCACCAAACCACACAGTCAGAGCTATGGGCACTCATTTTAGTCAAAGGCTAGACTATAAATTATAAAATAATTTAAATTTTTTTCCTATTAAGTAGCAACTGTCCAATCTCTAAAAAACAACTCTTTAAATGATTCTGTCATCAACTTCCTGTTTCTTTCATTTTATTGAAGTCCAATCCAGCAAAATTAATCAGAAAATGGCATTCCACATTCACTGCCTTCATAAAAGCAGAGTTACAGTCTCCTGCAGATCCCCTTAATAGGTAGCCTTAAAACCTTCACAAGGGAGAAATTAATAAGTTAGGGATGACTAAAGTTTAACAGATGACTCCACTGTCAGAGATTCTGTGTTAGGAGGTCTGCAGTGGGTCCAGGAATCTGCAATTAACAACTTTCCTCACCCCACATCTGAAGCAGATGGTGGTGTATACATGGATCATGCTCTAAAGAATACCAAGTTCAAGGATGAACTTAAGTGGCAGTCTAATTTGATCCTAAGTATTTTTTTTTCTTTGCCTGTCACCACTTTTTTCTCACTCTAGCTGAACTGTTCACTCACTGGTAGAATCTTTAACATTATCTAATAGAAATATAATGGGAGCTATCGATGTAACTTTAACCAGTAGTAGCCACATTAAAAAAATAAAAACAGGTGAAATTAACCTTAATATATTTTAACATAATATAGCCAGAATATTACCGTTTCAATATGCAACCAACATAAAATTATTTGCCAGATATTTTAGTCTTTTTTCATATTAAGTCTTCAGAATCCATTATGTTTTACACTTAAAGCACATCACAATTTGTCCTAGTAACATTCTAAGTACCCAAAAGCAAATGTGGCTAGTGTCTACAGTGTAAGACAACACAGGTTTAGAACAATAATTAGGCCCGTGGTATCAAGTAGCCTGGGTTTGATGCCCAGTTTTACCACTAAAGGGTTATATGATCTTAGCCAATTCATTTCATTTCTTACTGCCTCAGTTTCATCTTTAGCAAAATGGAGTTAAAAATTATTTCTATCTCATATATAGTTGTTACAGTTAAAATATGCAGGACACCAAGGAACAGTGCTTGGCATGTAGACACCCTGTTACAATATAAAATTATCACTCTCCAAATACAACATTTTCATTCTCATTTTCTGCCTTTGCCTGCCTAATACCTGTCAACTAAATGCCTTCTCACTTCATGCTACCTCTCCAAATCTGGTTACTCCTCCAGGACTCTGATTAATTCTTCATGAAGTTTTCCTGCGTCTATCAATGATCTTTCCCTGTTGTGAAACCACAGCATTTGATCATGTTTCTTATTCAGAACTTAATTACACACTGCTGTGGGTCATTTGTTGCACTGTCAGTTATCTTGTAATTATCTGATTTAGCATGAATATACACCTTGTCTACACAACTATTAAACTCTTGGAGGGCAGGGAATGTGTATCCTATGTGTGCGTGCACACATATATCTACATACATATAAATATTTTCAAAAGCATAAGTTCTTAATAAATATTTGCTGAATAGACTTTGAAAAACGACATTCTTACCCAAATGCTTCCTTATATACTCCCATTAAAGCAGCTGTATTTAAATTAATACTTTTAAATATAATGAACAAACCAGCTGTTGATTCTAAACCTTTTGCCTTTATTTCAACAGAAATAGGAAGACAAAAACAAGAAATACAAAACAAGTTCAGTTTTATAAAGTTTATATATATAGACTTCACATATAGGATCAAAATAATTTTTTTCAAATAACTTTTCTATGTAACATTATAATAAAATTGATAATTCTTTTCTTTTCCAT